AGCAGTAATAACAAAAGACCAAGGCTCGACAACAGCACGACAAACAATCATAAACCTGAAAACAAGAAAACAAAGTTGAACGCCATCATTAATCATCGAGTTGTGGCTTATGTTCCTGATCAGAAAAGCGTTGCAGCCGTTGGAACTGTCCATGGAGATAGAAAAGCGCTCCATGGACACTGTATTTCTCAAGATGTGTGTGCGTAGAAATTACTTACGTACTCAATACTTACGTACTTTAATATAAATATCTCTGCAATGAAGGCGTTAGCTGTAAAACGTAGACCCTTTTTAATTTCTTTCTCTACGACATCGCTATATGCGTTTCTGACAAGTTTCGGCTGCACGTTGACTTTTTCAAAAGATGTACTATAGAATCATATTAACCCCTCTAGCCGGATAATGTTAGGAAATTGAAATGTATTTAATTTTTTTATTTAATAGTTTCACTACATAGTTAAACAGGTATGAGAAATTACAGGAAACTGCCATTGATTCGCCAGTTSAGCGTACCACCAAAAAGATCAAAAACGGATTGACAACTTTTTCAAGACAGCTAATGAATTTAGTCACACCGACAAAACAATAACAATTGCTGAACTTTTAAGAAAATACGGCTCAGTTCTTTGAACATTAATATCTGATGGGCGAGGTCACGTCATGAATAAATGACTTACTGAAGAAGTGAAGCCATAACTAGGTCCTTCCGCGTATTGGTACGAAAAGCTTTTTTCATAAAGTCTATGTCTCTTTAAATATTATACAGTTATATTATACGGCTTTATACAGTAGAGGGCTTTCATTATATCCGTGAAACACTTTGTAAGAAATTGCACATAATTTTGTACTAATTTGCACAATTTTGTTATAACAAAGTGTTTCACGGGTATAATGAAAGCACTCTAATTATATAGATTTATTTGTAATTTGTATATATGTTGTCGTTTAGGTTTCAATATGATTTTTGAACCAGTTCGATTTTTTAAAACCAGCTCAATTTAAAATAAATATGTATAAGAAAAACTTCCTTCTCTATCACCCTCCCCCATTGCCCTTTATTCTCTATCTCCCCTCCCCCATTATCCTTTCCTTCCCTCCCTCTACTCCCCCTTATTTCTTAYCTGCCTACCTGATACTTATCTAATTTAATTTTTTGTCYTCACCTTGACCCCCCCTGCAGGGTTAGGTGCCACCATTGTAAATATGATTAATAGATATCAACAAAGCTCAAGATTGTTCGCATTAAATAATTTGTTTAACAATTCTGTTATTTGTGTGTTAGAGAATTCCACAACACCCAACGTTTTGATCTCCTTTTTTGGATTCGAACCAAAACCCCCAAGTGAGGGTGACCAAGAGGGAGCTGTGGATGAGGGTGTGTGGATACTAGTTGTTTTGTGAGTTGAATATAGCGGATACTCGCCGGTGAAGTATGTGTGTAAATATTGTGTTGTATGCCTCCTCTATTTCTCAGACAACCATGTTGGCGAGGAATTGTCGTCTTGGAATCACTGGAACATGCAGCAACCGAGTAAGTTTGTCGTGCTTGACGTCAAGTTGGGGATTGTTTGTTGATGATGATGGAATGACGGTCGATGTTGACGCAGATGAGGCTTAGTCAGGGATGATTAGATGGTGGTCGTCCAATAGATGTTAATGGAATTGATGGAGGGTTGATCGATGGCTGGTTAGCAGATGTTATAGTGGCTAGATATTCCGAATTAGCAAGCTCAGATAGGATGGGGTTTGCAGCTTTCTTTGCCTTGGTGGCCTTGCTGGTCAGATCGTACCATTGCTCGGCAGTCCTCCGCGAATGCTTCATCAGAACTGCCAAGTCAGGCCCAAGTCCATCTTCTCGTCGGCAGTCTTGCCAGTCATCTCCAGGTGACTCATCCACATCTTTCAAAGGGACAACAGTCAAGACACACGGTCTTGAAGTCTGGCACCAGTGTAGGCTACACTTTTCACAATGCTTAAACATTGGGTACACGTCTGGACCTCTTTTCTATCAGTTTTTGTGTATGTACCCACTGGCACCGGAACGAGAACAAAATAATAATAATTTAATAATAATAATAAAAGACCACAGGCTACGTAAATAAAGTTGAGGCTATATGTCGCTCCAGGGGACTCCCTTATAAGGGGGCGGGTTCCTCGTCGTCTTTCTTAGGGTTTTAAATCTAGAATCTTGTATTTCAACAGCTTGGTCCTACCGCTTTTTGATTATGGTGATATTGTTTGGGGAGATAAAGATAATATCACGCTGGAATCTCTTCAAACCCTGCACAATAAAGCGGCCAAGATCATCCTGGATCGTCCTCCATRCTCCTCAGCATCTGATGCTCGGAAAGAACTTAATTGGATGGAACTCAGTAAGCGCAGATACTACCATCGATGTTTACATATTATATTCAAATGTAAAAACAGATTATTATCATCAAATCTAAAACTGAATAAGCTCAATGAGCATGGCTACAACACGAGGCATGGAAGCAAGTTTCGCTTAACACGACCCAAAACWAACTGGGGAAAACAAACAATGCAGTTTCAAGCCATGAAAGAATGGAACAATCTGAGTGACACTCTTRAACAGTGTTCTAATATTAACCATTTCAAATCGAATTTCTTTTAAACCTGTAAACCTAAATAATCTGAACTTTTCATCTTTTACAATTTTACATACTAGTAATAATGATGTTGACTTTTCAGTAACGAGCTTGTTTCGATATTCAACCTCCAAATTCTCTTTTTGCATATTATTGTAAAAATATCTTACTTATCAGGACCTTCTTGAAAATCACATTTGTAAGTGAAGAAGCTTCCTGTTAAAATATGAATGTAAATAAATCAGTATCGTAGTAATCTCAATAAAAACATTCAAAATTCCTGCCGTAACCGTTTCGTAACTATCGAAAGTTTCCGCCACTCACACGAAAATGACTCAATATTAATGGACGTTCCGACAGCTTGAAAAACGAGATATAGTTTCCATGAATAAGTTTATGTAATGAAGCACAACGACAAACATGTAAATACCAATGTCATTGACAACACTTTTTACTGACATTCATTTTATATATGAATGGTATCGTGAATATCGTTTTTCACAACTCATTCATCTCTTGCTGAATTCAGTATCGATATTATATATCAAGATATTTATTCATAACAATTTGTCTTATCAACCATAGTTTTAATAAATTCCGAGTTTTCGGCCTACTCGGCCATCCTCAGGGAAATTACGTTACAATTGACAAAGAAAAACGCGATCAAACCATGGCATATGTGCGCGCGCATTAAATTAAACAAATTCGCGCGCGCTTAGGAAAAAAATAAATACAACGAATTAATTAATTAATCAAAAAAAACAACAACAACAAAAACAAGCGAACAAACTAGCAATCAAACAAACGAACGAACGAACAAACGAAAAAACAAATATTGTCCCTAATGCTCTTTCACTGACACCCCAGTAATTTCATTTTGATTTGTATCATTGTCCGTATTTTCGTGTTGCAAACAGGAACATGAAAAAGGAAATACGAGATGTTCTGTTATTATCATGAGTATCAAGAAAACAAATAACTTATTATATATACAGTTATTGCAAGGGCGGACCCAGGAAAAATTTTAGGGGGGGAATAATTGAGTTTCTTCGGTCAACACGATGGAAAACAATAACAAAAGTATCTAATTCTTCAGTTTTGCTTTGTTTGTTTTTTTCTGTTGAAGGGGGCTTCAGTCTCGCCACACATACACTTATCATGCAGTTATCGGGGGACGTAAAAAACGATGGGCTTAAATTGCTTATACTTTTTTAAAAACTAAGAAATATTAATCATTTACTACTAATCTAAGCTTCAATGGTAAAGCACATGTATAACATATTTACATGGAAAGTGCGCTATATGAATTATTTCTCAATGGACACGGTTT